TTTAGGGCTGTTGTATGATTTAAACTGGTCCCTAATTGTAAGGAGACCACGACGAATATCTTCCCGCAATGCGGTTCCAAGTCTTCTCTCCAAAGGAGCTGTCAATGTCTTACGCTTGCCGTTCTATGATTCACTTATTCCAATTGCTATCATTTTTGCGTGGGATATCACGCGTTTGTCGGTGAATGAGTCATTTCTGATAATGAGCCGTAGTATCTTCTGGAGGAGCAGACCCAATATGCTCCAGGAAAGACTTCGTGTTCTCGTCGTCGGCAGCGGTGGTCGAGAACACGCCTTAGCATGGAGACTTAGCCAGTCTTCACTGGTTGACGCCGTTTACTGTGCTCCCGGAAACGGAGGCACCGCAGCAAAGGCGTCTTCCAAAATATCAAATGTTGCGATCAAGTCCGACGACTATCCGGGCTTGGTCTCCTTCGCTCAGAGAGAGAATGTCAATCTCGTCGTTCCCGGGCCGGAGGCTCCCCTGGTTGATGGGATCCAGGGGTATTTCCAGGCAGGTAGGGCTTATGCGAACTGGAACCCGAGTCGTCGAGGGTTACTTTCCCCATGAACACAGAACTGACTCGTGGTGTTTTAGTTGGCATAAGATGCTTTGGCCCATCAAAAGCCGCAGCCCGAATGGAGGGCTCCAAAACTTTTTCTAAGGATTTTATGCAGCGTCACAATATCCCAACCGCTCGGTATCAGAATTTCAACGATTATAAATCTGCATGTGAATATCTAGATTCCATAGACCATGATGTTGTCATCAAGGCTAGTGGGCTTGCAGCCGGGAAAGGAGTTATTATGCCCCAAAACAAGGAAGAAGCCCTGCAGGCCTTGAAAGAGATTATGCTCGATCGACAGTTCGGCGAAGCAGGAGATGAGGTTGTCATTGAAGAATTTTTAGAGGGAGATGAGCTGAGCGTACTAACCTTTTCGGACGGTTATACCATTCGATCTCTCCCCCCCGCCCAGGATCACAAGAGAATCTTTGACGGTGACCAAGGACCAAATACGGGAGGAATGGGATGTTATGCTCCTACTCGCATCGCTTCGAAAGAAGTCATCGCAGAAATCGACAGGACGATCGTGAAGCCTAGTATTGATGGAATGAGAAAAGAAGGTATGTTCCAGCCGTCATACGCCTTTTTCGGGACGAGCAGCTGAGTTCGCATCAGGTTTCCCATTCGTTGGTATTCTCTTTACCGGACTGATGATGACGAAAAATGGACCAAAGGTCCTTGAATACAACGTCCGTGGCGGAGACCCCGAAACCCAGACATTACTCCCCCTTCTCAGCAATGACACAGATCTTGCCGAAGTAATGGTCGCTTGTACAGAGCACTGGCTTGATGGTGTCACCATCAAGGTCGAACCCAAATTCGCGGCTACTGTCATCGCAGTAGCTGAAGGTTACCCCGGGTCATATGCAAAAGGCCGAGATATCACCCTTGATACTCCGGCATCAGATACACTGGTTTTCCATGCTGGCACAACCATGGTTGATAACCACTTGAAATCCTCTGGCGGCCGAGTTATCGCTGCAACAGCAACGTCAAGAACCCTAGAAGATGCAGTCAAGAAGGCATATTCCGGCATGTCAACCATTCATTTCCAGGGCATGTATTATCGCAAAGATATTGCTCACCGCGCGTTTAGAGATTCCTCTTCCCAGAAGGAGGGGCTAACTTACGCCTCAGCCGGTGTCTCCATAGACGCTGGAAACGAGCTGGTGAATCGAATCAAAGCCAACGTCGCGCGGACTAAACGGCCGGGTTCCGATGCTGTCATTGGCGGATTCGGTGGTGCGTTTTCACTCGCAGACTGCAATTCCGGGTTCCACAGTGCTTCTCCTACGTTGATCGCCGCCATAGATGGCGTGGGCACAAAGCTCAAAGTCGCACATGAGATGCAAACCCACAATACCGTTGGCATTGACCTGGTCGCAATGAATGTTAACGACTTGGTCGTGCAAGGCGCTGAGCCGCTACTATTTTTAGATTGCTATAGCTGTGGGAAGCTTGACGTTGAAACCGCGGCATCATTCGTTTCCGGCGTTGCAGATGGCTGTGTTGAAGCAGGGTGCGCTCTAGTCGGTGGAGAGACAGCTGAAATGCCCGGACTCTTCGTCGATGCCGCCTATGACGCAGCGGGAGCTGCTCTCGGAGCCATTGATACAAGCAAAAATGCCATTTTGCCTATTACAGAGAAGATGAAAGCCGGTGATGTGCTGCTGGGATTATCCAGTAGCGGCCCACATTCAAACGGGTACTCCTTGATCCGCAAGATCGTGGACCTGTCAGGTCTATCCTACCTGGATCCAGCGCCATTCGAAACGTCTGCAGCATCTTTGGGTGCCGCCCTTCTAACACCTACCAGAATTTATGTTAAACCTCTTCTTTCGGCCCTTGGCTCTTTCGCCTCCGGTGCTATCAAAGGCCTCGCGCACATCACCGGTGGTGGCTTGGTCGAAAATGTTCCTCGTGCGCTTCCAGACCACCTCTGCGCCGAGATTGATGTTACCACATGGCCGCTACCCAGTGTTTTCAAGTGGCTCAAGAAGACGGGCAATGTGAGTTCAGCTGAAATGGGCAGAGCCCTCAACAACGGTATCGGAATGGTCATGGTGGTATCTGCGGAAGAGGCAGGCAATATCAAGAGCTACATGGAAAAGCAGGGAGAAAAGGTGTTCGTTATTGGATCCCTTACCGACAAGGGCGATAAGTCCAAGGAAGGATGCGTGCTTAAGAACTTGGATACATGGGATGAGTGAAAGCGTCTTTTTGAGTGATGATGGTTAAGTTTTGACGAAAGTAATGGCCGGGATGGTTGACGAACGTCGGAGTCTGTAACTAAATGCCAAAAAAAAAAAAAAAAAGGCTTGGAAAAGTTAGGAGTAACTATTCGAGTAGTTAACAGCGGGCATTCGCCTATTTAGCGGATGCAATGCACAGAGCACTCCGTACTCCATAGATGAATTGGAATCTCCCTGATTGTCCATCAAGAGTCGTCGGTCTATGGCAGCAGCCGCCTCGATACGGTGAGAGGGCGATGGGACGGTGAACGTTAAAGTATCTCGTGGCTTTAAGTTTGGGCTCAGGTCCGCTCTGTCGTTCGCCAAAAATGGAAGAAGTTAACGTGCTTCCCTTGTCTTGTCAGATGGTATGGGTGAAGCTCGCGACCTGTCTGGGCCCTTGCTTGGCCCGGCTAATGTTTCCCTGTCGCCGACAGGGCTGCACGTCGGAGCTTCAGATGCAGGTCAGCTCTTGTCACAAACGCACGACTCCTCACGAGGATTCCTACACCACCGTCCGAGCACGGGAGAGGTTGGCAGCACCCTGCGCCGGCCGGACGGAGGGCAAACGCAAGTATGGTCGGTCCATGGCATCCCGTCGATGATATACGTACGTATCCAGGGAGAAGCCAGCTGCTCGGGGCCCTTTTGTCTTCTCTTTACTTTTTGAGCAGACTCTGATTGCGAAAGACTGCCGGATTTGATGACTCTTACATATTCGCCCTGTGGGCACAACTGGTGTCGATCTTCTGCAACGATCGGTTGACACTGGGGTTTGCCACCTTGACAGCGATAACTCAACCAGAAACATCGGTCACGGAGCTTTTTCTTCAGAACGGACCCATGCTCGGGCATGATGTGACACAGTCGTACCTAGATTACTTAAGGGTTTAACCAGGCGTTCCAAACCGGCCCGCGACTTCGAATGTCAACTGGAACGGGCCTCATTTTGGCTCCCGATGTTCGAGTCGAGCTATGAGTCCAGACACTGCTCGAGTCTTACTCCCACCGACGTGACTACTCTCTGCTAACTGCTTAGAGAGCCCTTCACTGCTGCAAGGCGACAACTAGCGAGATGCAGAGTGCTTGCACTATATACACATTTAGCTACCCAGCACATAGAAAACCGGCTGTCTGCCTGTAACTATTTTCAAGGAATGTGACACATCTCTTATGTCGACATCATCTTGTGACGAATCCTCCTCTTCGATCCATAGATTTCTTCGACCCACAAGGCCTTCGTGGATGGCACAGTACTGCTGGTGAACCCAAAGTTTAATATTTGCTCGTTGCTTGTCCTACCCAGAAAGAAAAATTCTGAAGTTCAAGGTTCTCATGGCATCTCATGCTCAGATCACCTCCAACCCACAACGCTGTGAAGGTGGTCATAGCGGCAGGCACTTGCGCGTGGGAGGCGGAAAGGGATGGCGTCCTCCAGGCCTCCTTTCCCCCCCGTTGCGTAGTTGGACCGGCAAAGAGGATTTGTTGGAACTGCGAAGGGCTACTTGAAGACCGTTCTCTGGCGGTCAACCGGGAAAAAGCTTCAGACAGATGATTGCATCTGTCTTATCCCTCTGGTCATCTGGCTTTCAGAAACACGCAGATGTATATTCAAACGTGAATTTGCAGCGGTTCTAGAATCCAATCGTGGTCTCGGGGCCACGATTGAGCTCCTCCATCGTGGGACATCCTACCGTTTTTTTTGTGGCATGGCCGATACCCGTTAGGATGGATGTTGTCCATCAAGACTTCTGCAGTGATAGCACATATTACCCTTTGGCGTTTTTTTTGATGTTATCCCCTTTGTGTTTCCCCATACATACGCGCGCGTCTACTCTTTGCCAAACGGGTCCACTCCGGACTCTTGCGGGTCACCTTGACTTCTCAGGCGGGTGATCGTCCACCATCTGACAGATGCACCCGTCATCGAGGGCAAAGACCATTTGCATTCGATCTCTCTATTGCATTAACCTGCTTACACTGCCATCCGCGAGATCTATCCATTGCTCCGGCTAATCCCTGCTGAAACCTTCTATGAGGCCTCATTCTACATTGGGCTTGCGTGATGTCTTAGTGGTCAGGTGTATTGTATATTACCTGGTTTGATATTTACCCTAAGATGTGTTCCTCTTCTGTATTCTTGTGAATATATATATCAATCGCGCAAAGCACATATAGCTGGGGCTATATCCTCTTTCCTGGTCACTTTTTCATTATCAAGATCGACGACAGATTCCATCTCACAATGAGGTTCCTTATTGGCGCTTTACTTACTCTCCAAACTCTTGTCCAGGCATCTTCGATGTCAAGTATGCCCAATTCTTATCCAGTCCCCGAGGCTCCGGCGGAAGGTGGCTTTCGCTCCGTTGTTTATTTTGTGAACTGGGTAGGTTTATGTTTACTCTTTCGACCGTGACGGCCGTGACGGTTGTTACTGACGACATCCAGGCGATCTACGGACGTGGTCATAACCCGCAAGATTTGAAGGCTGATCAGTTCACTCACATACTCTACGCCTTTGCAAATATCCGCCCGTCAGGAGAGGTGTACCTGTCCGACACATGGGCAGATACCGACAAGCACTACCCCGGTGACAAATGGGACGAGCCGGGAAACAACGTTTACGGCTGTATCAAGCAAATGTACTTGCTCAAGAAGAACAACCGGAACTTGAAGACGTTGCTTTCGATTGGAGGATGGACGTATTCCCCCAACTTCAAAACCCCGGCTAGCACGGAGGAAGGCAGGAAGAAATTCGCTGACACATCTCTGAAGTTGATGAAGGACCTTGGCTTTGATGGGATTGACATCGATTGGGAGGTAAGCTTGGGGTTTCTCCCCATCTTAAAGGAATGCTATTAATTCTTGGGGTCGATTTCTAACTTGAGAGCAGTACCCCGAAGATGAGAAGCAGGCGAATGATTTTGTGTTGTTACTCAAAGCATGTAGAGAAGTATGATCAAATTCCAAAACGGGAAAACAAAGACATATACATTGTTGACTAAAAGTATAGGCACTCGACGCGTACTCCGCAAAACACCCGAATGGCAAGAAATTCTTGCTCACTATTGCTTCACCGGCAGGTAAGTCTAGCAAGCCCACCCGTGTGTTCTGGGAAATCCTGTCCTAATACATGCTATAGGTCCCCAGAATTACAACAAGCTGAAATTAGCCGAGATGGACAAGTACCTTGACTTTTGGAACCTCATGGCTTACGACTTCAGCGGCAGCTGGGACAAAGTGTCTGGCCACATGTCCAACGTTTTCCCTTCGACAACAAAGCCAGAGTCCACACCTTTTAGCAGTGACAAGGCCGTCAAGGACTACATCAAAGCAGGTGTCCCAGCCAATAAGATCGTCCTCGGAATGCCACTCTATGGGCGAGCATTTGCCTCGACCGATGGGATCGGCACTAGCTTCAACGGTGTTGGCGGAGGTTCTTGGGAGAACGGTGTCTGGGACTACAAAGACATGCCGCAGCAAGGCGCTCAGGTTACTGAACTTGAGGATATCGCTGCGTCGTATAGCTATGACAAGAACAAACGCTACCTGATCAGCTATGATACAGTTAAGATCGCGGGCAAGAAGGCCGAGTACATTACGAAGAATGGAATGGGAGGTGGAATGTGGTGGGAGAGCAGCAGCGACAAGACAGGAAATGAGAGTCTCGTTGGAACCGTAAGTGCTTTGCATTGGCGGCTTAGGATATGACATACTAATAGTCAATGCACCAACCAGGTCGTCAACGGATTGGGAGGTACCGGCAAACTTGAGCAGCGCGAGAACGAGCTCAGCTATCCCGAGTCGGTCTATGATAACCTCAAGAATGGGATGCCAAGTTGATTTGGAAAACCCGCTGCTAGCTGCCTGCATCACTGCTATCCCCGTCTTTCGTTTCAACTTGTACATCTTAGTTAACTAGCCCCTTTCCGTTGTATCTTCAACCTTGGTTTCACGTTGGGGCCCAACTTTGGCTTTTCATGAATATGGCTTAGTTATTGTGTCTTACGAGAAATATGGCCGACCTTTGTTGTATTGGCTTTGTTTCTCGATTCATGAACGTTCTCTAAACAGTTAACTAGTTAGTCAGGCAGTTAACTATAGCTCTTTTCCCCAAACCTGAAACTCCATCTGGATAGTTAAAAACTCCCACTCCGACCTCCGTCCCTATCCCAAACACTACTGCGCCGAAAGATCGTGACCGCGTGACGCTGTAGAGAGTTGGGCAGTTCGGCGACCGCTCTGCCGGGAAGCTTTAGAATCGCTTGGCGAGTGAAATGCTCCGTCCAAGCTCTTGACTGGTCAGTTCGTTAACTCACTGGTCAGTTGGTTAGCGCACTGAACTACCTGACTAGTTAACCATGTACTCCGTACTTAGCTAGTGTCCACGGAGTAACTAGTTAAACTAACTAGTTGGTTAGTTATGTAAAACTCGCTAAAACTTCCTCCCGCCCGGCCGGCTGGCTCACTAGTCGTCGATCAAAACGCCATCCGACCGCCGCTTGCACGCAGAAACCCAGCCGGAGCCTCTGCGCGCCAGCGTATCAGGACTCTTAAACCACGGTGAGCACTGGTGAGTACATGTCATCCAGACGTCTATCCTGTCCGGTGAGTGAGCGAGCTGGAGAACGTGATATGCCCACGACGAACCATTGCCGACTGAATATGCCGACCCAGATGGACTGGCATCCACACATCCGGTCCGAGCCCCATGGATCTGACCCAGTTCTCTTCAAGCTTTAAAATGGCCGGCGACGTAGGGAGAGACAAGACACCCTTATCAACGGATACTGCTCACATTTCAGAATTTATTGTTTCTGCAGATTACGAAATATAAAGCGCGGATATCTCACCACCTTTGATAAGAGATGGTAAGTCGAAAAGGGGAAAAAAAAAAAGGAGAAGCATCTCACGTTGTTGCCACATGTGAAGGTTCCTTGGGACCTCTATCCGCGCAGGTTGCACGAGCCCTTTCAAAGTTTGCGATCTCCGCCTGGTGAGGTGCAAGGTCCCCGAGAAATATCCACATGAGTTCCTTCAGGGTGCTGCTCGACCCATGGATGACGCTTTTGACGTGGCCGTTCTGGAAGCTTTCCCTGACAAGCCGTGATGCCCTTGGACATCCGGCGTCCCGCAGGCCTACACGTGGTAACACGGCGGCCTTTTTTACGATGTATGCCTAAGTAGGGAATAGCCAGTCTACAAAGCTCTCGTTTCAACATGATCTGCGACGAAAAATCGGAGTGGTTTAGCCAGGCAGAGTGTGGTGCCTTGATCTGCTTGTAACGTGGGTCTGTGACAAACTACCTAATCACGTCACCTGGGAATACTGGGAAGCTTCCATTAAACACCGCCGAAAAGGCACACGCTGAGGGCGACTGTACTCTGTAACTGATCCAGATGAGAGTGGCCCCCAGCAACTCTCGCGGAGAGCACGAGATCTCCACAGTGGCCAGTGGATGGACGGGGAGGATACATTTTATGGACGCAGTATGGAGTATGGAGTACTCCATACCCCAGGTCATTTATCAACTATGACCCTCGTTTTAGAGTCGCAGTTCCGCTCGGGCGAATATTCCGCCTCAATTATGCTCAAGAGACCATCGTGCACGACCTGCCAGGCATCATCTCCATCATCTTCAATTACCCGAAGATTCTTCCCGTAGCCGCTGTCTACAACGAGAGTTAGCAGACGCTCAACAAATTGCCTGCCGATAACACTCGAAAAAGACGCTTTTGCCTCCACCCACGGGTGGCCAATGGACATTTCCCAGATTCTCGACCCAGACTCCGCGCAGTGCACTAGAAATCTTCTTTTGGGCCTTGCCTCACTCTGTTTCTTACGGAGTACCCCCGGGAATTTTGTTAGGAAAATGCCGTATCTTTTCAAAATCTCCACTAAATTCCGGCGATGCGTTCAACCAAGGATATCGCAAGAGTAAAACTGGGGAAATTCTAATTGCGTTAAGCCCGGACAGGGTTTAAACGGCGAGATTCCTGACATTTATCCCCGTCCTCCTCCCTCCCATCATCCCCTCTCTCTCTCTCTCCTTTCTTTTCCCTTTATTCCTCCGTTCCTCATTCCCGACAAAGCTTCAGGTCAGGTCCCGTTTCGGCTGCCTCGAGAACTATTAGTCTCAAGAACAAAAATATGTCTTTCGAACACCATAGCGAGAATGGACTGGCTCCTGCTCTAGGACAGGGGGTGCAATTCTACGACACCGGGTCCCTGAATGGGAACTCCAGCGTGCATCAAAGCCCTTTCTTGGTGAAAGATGGCGAGCAACCGCGGCTCTTCACAGTTTCGCAGGTGCCCCATCCTCCCTTCGAGAAGCTTGCCAACCCCGGTCCACTGGGTTTACTGTCTTTTGCAATTACCACTTTCGTTTTGGGGCTCTATCAATGCGGTGCAGGGTAAGCCATGACACTGAGGAAGCCAAATATGTTTTGGTGGCGAGTCCTCACACTGATCTTGCTTGAAATAGTCTCCCTGGTAGCAACCCACGAGGCGACATTGGCCCGGACGCTGCCATCTTCGGCCTTGCCATCTTCATGGGTGGGCTAGCGCAACTCCTTGCCGGCCTGATGGAATTCCGCGTTGGCAACACCTTCGGTACCACCGTGCACATCTCGTACGGTGCATTCTGGCTCAGCTACGCCATGTTCCACGTTCCCACACTCGGGATCAAGGCAGCCTACAAGGGTGACGAGCGCGCCTTCTCCTTCGCCATCGCCATCTATCTCATCCTGTGGTGCTTCTTGACTTTCCTGTTCCTCCTGGCCGCTCTCCGAACCAACATCGCCATCGTCTCGGTCTTCACGACTCTTGTCCTTGCTTTCTTCTTCCTCTCGCTCGCAAATTTCATCGCTACCGAACACCCGGACGCTGCTATCGCGGTTAATAAGACCGGCGGTGCGGTCTCGGTGGTCTGCGCATTCCTGGCCTTCTACGCTGGTTCATCTGGTATCATGTTGCCAGAGACAACCTTCATCAAATTCCCACTGGGAAAATTCAACAGTGCGCAAGATCAACAACAACAACAACGAGAAGCAACGCATAAAGTATAGACTAGATCTTCTAGATGATTATGACTTCTTAAATGTCTCCGGCGCATATATACCCCTTGGGGAGGTTCTGCGGCAGCTTTGTCTCACCTATCTTTTCTTTTCTTTTCTTGCCCCCATTTTTCTATGTTCATCATCAGCATTTTTTTTTAGCACTGGGTTTCATTTACGGGTACTTAACTAGGAGGTTTTCGCCAATGTCTCGACTCTATAACTAGAAGAAATTGCTGCTCTTTAATAAATGATAACTACATCAGTAATTACCATGAGATTTGACTGAGAATCCCCTGATTACACATATGTCTGAATATCTTGCCATTCTCATTCATGTTACTCATTCGGAAGAGGGAAGTCTTTTTTTTCGGGTGACTCCGGGCCAACACACAAGTCGGAACCGTTTCATCTGCATATGTGTTACCTATGTGTAGACCTCGCCGTGCTGCCTTCGTGTAACAAGGATGGGAAGCGATATTGCAAGAAGGTCGGATAACGGCTCGGTTGGATTGTGAACTGGTCCTGCTGAGCCGCTAGTAAGTTGGTTTTTAGTAGTTGGTTAGCCAGGTTACTAGTTAACTAGTTCGTTGTTAGGGGTACTCCGTGGAAGGCGGTTTCAATCAACAGCGCGTGCCGGCCCACAACTGCTCGACACCCCCGTAGTTAAACCACAGGCTTTCATCAATAATCCGTGCATGGATAGGCAGCCTGAAGAATCGATCTTTTCGTGGCTTTTATAATCATTTGGCAGTTGGTTGCCTGTGTGCACTTTTACACAACTTACGCGCTCATTCCCAACAGCAATGCCGGGAGAGGCTGCGCGTACGTCCGCGTTAGCCGAACATTCCGACGCCAATGGTGTTTCCAATGGCTCTATGGATCCGGGATTTCCTGAAGCTCGAAGCGATCCCCGTCTATGGCGAATGCGTGCTGTCGAGGGCCGGCAATCGTGGCATTACCTAGACGAAGAGGAGGCAAAGAAATGGCCGCAGACGCTTGCCGACCGATGGTACCTGAACCTCCCAACTGTAAGTTCAAAAAAACGACCACAACTCTTTCATTCAACACTCTGTTTACCTTTTAATTGACTACCCGTACCAGGACCTGCCTGATCTTCCGAAGGCCAAGAAGCCTCTGGAAGCTGTGGACAACGGCCTTTCGTTCTTCTCCAAGCTTCAATTACCCCCCGGCAACTGGGCATGCGAGTATGGCGGTCCCATGTTCCTTCTTGCAGGCGTTGTCATCACATGGTACGTGACAGAGACGCCCATTCCCTGGTCCCACCGTGTCGAGATCAAGAACTATCTCTTTGCTCGTGCCAACCCTGAAGACGGCGGCTGGGGGCTTCACACCGAGGCAGAGAGCAGCGTGCTCGGAACTGCCTTCAACTACGCGGTTCTGCGCATCGTTGGCGTCGACGCAGACCACCCTGCGATGGTCAAGGCGCGCGGAACCCTGCACAGGCTGGGAGGTGCCACTCACGCGCCCCATTGGACCAAATTCTGGTTGGCTCTGATGGGCGTTGTGAAGTGGGATATTGTTAACCCGTGTCCGCCAGAGGCATGGCTACTTCCGGACTGGTTGCCGTTCCACCCATGGCGCTGGTGGGTGCACATCAGATACATCTATCTGGCTATGTCGTGGCTGTATTCAAAGCGATGGGTGATGAGGGAGACCGAGCTCGTTCGGGAATTGCGGAAGGAGATGTTCGTGCAGCCTTGGGAAGAAATAAACTGGGCCGCTCACAGAAACTCGATTTCTAATATTGATAATTTTCATCCGAAGTCATGGCTCTTGAACACGGCAAACTGGGTGCTGGTGAACGTGTGGCAGCCGTACCTCAGGCCGAACTTTTTGGCGGACAAGGCCGAGAGGTGGGTTGCCGAGATGGTTGACATGGAAAGCGAGAATACTCATTACTTGGGACTGGCTCCTGCGAACGGCCCGATGAACATGGTTGTGTACTTTGCTAGCAAGGGGCCGGACTCGTACGAGTTCAAGCAGGCTCGTCAAGGGATCGCGGAAAATATGTGGGTGAATCATGAAGGCATGTTCTGCAACGGAACCAACGGAATTCAGTGCTGGGACACAGCCTTCACTATCCAGGCCGTTATCGAAGCAGGCCTAGCGCAAGACGACAAATGGCGTCCGATGCTACTCAAGGCTCTTCAGTTCCTGGATGACCAGCAGATAAGAGAAGAAGTCCCACGCCAGTATCGAGAATACAGACATCCTCGCAAGGGCGGCTGGGCTTTCAGCAACCGATGGCAGGGATATCCAGTCAGTGATTGTGTCGCAGAAGCTCTGAAATCCGTTATCCTACTGCAAAAGACGCCAGGAATCCCCCAGCTACTCGAGGATCGACGTATATTCGACGCCATTGATGTACTCTTGACCTACCAGAACAGCACTGGTGGCTGTGCATCTTATGAGCGGAGACGAGGGCCTCACTGGGTTGAATTGCTCAACGCTGCAGAGGTGTTTGAGAACATCATGGTCGAGTACGACTATCCGGAGTGCACGACAGCCGTGGTGACAACACTCTCGTTATTCAGTCATTACTGGCCAGACTACCGAGCTGCGGAGATTCGCTCCTTTGTCGACCGTGCTGTTGCCTGGATCAAGACGGTACAGTATCCCCATGGGGGTTGGTACGGTAACTGGGGCATTTGTTTCACCTATGCCACCATGTTTGCATTGGAGAGTCTTTCGCTAGTGGGCGAAACCTACGCAACTAGCGAGCACGCGAAGCGCGGATGCGAGTTCTTGCTTTCCAAACAGCGTCCAGATGGTGGCTGGAGTGAGAGTTATAGGGTGAGACTTTTCTTCGCATTTCACTCCATAGAACCACCCCCTTCCCCCTTCTCCCAGTCTCTCCCAAAAGCATCCATCCATCAAACTGACTACTCTATACAATAACAGTCCTGCGAGAGACACGAATATATCGAACACCCCTCAGGCTCTCAGGTCGTGATGACAGCATGGGCACTGATTGGCCTGATGAACGCCGGCTACCCTGATGTCGAGCCGTTGCGACGCGGTGTCAAGCTGATAATGGACAGACAGCAGCCCAATGGCGAGTGGAAGCAGGAAGCCATCGAAGGCGTCTTCAACAAGAGCACCATGATCACCTACCCGAACTACAAATTCAGCTTTACGCTGAAGGCCCTTGGGATGTTCGCCCAAAAGTACTCGAATGAAGAGATCAATTAGTTTCGCCACGTTCACCCTAAGTTGAAGTTTGAACAGGGAGAGGAGGGAGTGTTTGGGGTTCCGTTCAACCAATGTTCCGGGAGTGGTTATCCTTTGTACTAACAGCTACTGCTACCGCTATGTTTTTACTCTATATAGTCTTATAATAATTTAGCTTGATGAGAACCGTTGATGTATTCACTCCTCTCCTGCGTTACCCTCTCACTCTTCGGACAGCATGCAAGATGACTTTGAGGCATTCTAGGCAAAGATAGGAAACCATTTTTGCAGCTGTGATATCTCACTATGCTAGCACTCCACTGGTTCTACCTTTATAGCATGAAGCACTTGGATGGTTAAATTTGTAAAAAAGGGGTATTGGTTCAAGAAATGGAGGCTATATTCTCAAAATGGATGAGATTACTACTGCCTTCCAAGGCTACAACGTAAAATGGGCACATAGCGTAATATCAATTGATAGTGCCTTTGTGGGGATCTGAACCCAGTACTCTCTATGCCTCAGTCTTTTTTTAAAAGGAGTGCGAGACCATTTGGAAACTTCCATTTTTGACCAGCTTGAAATACACAAAGAAGTTAAGAGGAAATATTTTTTGCAAGGGAATAAAGACTTTAAGATAAAGCTGTTGGATAACAACGGCTAGCTAAACTCGATACCGTGGAGTGTGTGAGGAAACAAATAATGGGCTCGAGAATGGAGTAATGGCGCCTCTACCTAATCAACCCAAATTTGACTAAGAGTTGCCACAGGCCTCTTGTCACGAAAAGATATTGGCTGGTGATTCTCCTAAAACCTTTTACTCCCGAATTCGCACAACACCTTAGAAGCACTTGCGGTGGACAATGGAAGGACCAGACTCATCGTATTCTTGCTTGGAGATCCACATTTGCTGGAAGGTGGAGAGCGAGGCCAGGATGGAACCACCGATCCAGACGGAGTATTTGCGCTCTGGAGGAGCGATGATCTTAACCTTCATCGACGAAGGAGCAAGAGCAGTGATTTCCTTCTGCATACGATCGGCAATACCGGGGTACATGGTTGTGCCGCCAGACTACATACAAGGTTAGCGCACAGACAGAACTGTGTGAAGCAAATAGGAGGGTTCGAAGCGGGCTGTCTTACCATGACGATGTTTCCGTAGAGATCCCTTCGGACGTCGACATCGCACTTCATGATGGCGTTGTAGGTGGTGGCGTGGATACCACCGCTTTCGAGACCCAAGACGCTTGGCTGGAACAGGGCCTCGGGGGCACGGAATCGCTCGTTGCCAATAGTGATGACTTGACCGTCAGGAAGCTCATAGGATCTCTCCAAGCTGGAGCTCTGGGAAGCGGTCTGGATCTCTTGCTGGAAGTCCAAAGCGACATAGCAGAGCTTCTCCTTGATGTCACGGACGATTTCACGCTCGGCAGTGGTGGAGAAGCTGTATCCACGCTCTGCCAAGATCTTCATGAGGTAGTCGGTAAGATCACGGCCAGCCATGTCGATACGGGAGATGGCGTGTGGAAGAGCGAAACCCTCATAGATGGGGACAACGTGGGTGACACCGTCGCCGGAGTCAAGCACGATACCGGTGGTACGACCGGAGGCATAGAGAGAGAGAACGGCTTGAATGGAGACATAGAAAGCGGGGGCGTTGAAGGTTTCGAACACGATCTGTGTCATCTTCTCACGGTTGGACTTGGGGTTGATCGGAGCCTCGGTCAAGAGGACTGGGTGCTCCTCGGGGGCGACACGCAGTTCGTTGTAGAAGGTGTGATGCCAGATCTTCTCCATGTCATCCCAGTTCGTGACGACACCGTGCTCGATTGGGTATCTGAGGGTTAAGATACCACGCTTTGATTGTGCCTCATCACCAACATAGGAATCCTTCTGGCCCATACCAATCATGATACTGGAAACACATGTAAGTTTGATCTGCCGGTTCAAAATTGGATTGAAAAAGCGAAGAGGGGGGGGGGAGGGGGGTTGTGTGTGTATTTACCCATGATGGCGAGGACGGCCGACGATGGATGCTGTGAGCTGCGTTAGTTTTCGTTGATGGCAGAGGTCAAGGGTTGGTATAATACTCGATGAAAGACCTGAGTGTTTGTGTTGGGGAGGCACTTACGGAAAACAGCTCGCGGAGCATCGTCACCGGCGAAACCGGCCTTGCACATACCAGAGCTAGAAGCGAAGCGTCAGCACACATCTGCAGCAGACAACAGCGTCCTGTGTGGGAAATGGGGGATCGTGTCGGCGGTTTGGGGAGAGGGTGGGGCTGAGGTGCGAGTGGAAGTGGGAGCTGAACTGGGACGACGGTCGGTCGGTCGGGGCGGGCGCCCAAGGGGCAGGAGACATACCCATTGTCGATAACGAGAGCAGCAACTTCTTCTGTAGCGGCCGGAGAGACGATGTTAGCCCTCAGTTCTCAGCGTCGAGACGCGATGCAGATTGGGGAGACGTTGGGCGAGACCCAGGTTGAGGTCCAGGGTGCCTTACCTTCCATGGTGGTGGGAGACGGCGAAAAAGCAAACTAAAGATTACTGAAAATGTACGTTGTGAATCGAAGCAGCAAAAGGAGAGCCTGTAGAGCAGCGGCGTACTGTACAGGCGAGAGAAAAGAAAGATGGGGAGCGCGAAGGGGAGATGGTGGAATATGGGGAAGGGTGGTGGATGGTGGTCGAAGGGGGGGGGGTTTGTTGTGGTTTGTGGTTGATGGGTTGTTGGAAGGAAGATGAAGTGGAGCGAGAGACGACGAGAGAAAGACACAGAATTTTGAAGGGTTGGAAGGGGGCTCGGAGAGGGGAAGGTTAAAGTTATGTACTAGTAGCTCGCCGTCTTGCGTGGCTTGGTACTGGTGACTTGGCCAGCAGGGGCAACTCCCACCGCCGCCCTGTGTACTCAGTACTTCGTCAAAACCCAGCAAAAACTCCCACACGCACGGTTCACCACAGAGCGACAGCGCTGTCTCTGTCGTGTCTACGCACTCTCAATCCCCAGGCGACAGCAATTCCTCCAGGCTCCATCTCTTCTTCTTTTCTTTCCCGCTCTTGTGACTGCTTTGTCTTTTTGCGTGACGACGACATCTTCCCGCTCCCCGATCCGAGAATGTTGCCGCCTTGATTTTCCCCAGCAAGAGGCCAGCGCAGCACGGACTGTGCGGCCCCGGAGATACGGGAGGCCCAGCTTCTTACAAAAACCCACCTCAGCCCGGCCCACGTACATTGTTCAAGTCACCGGAATGCTGGTGCCTCCAGCATCAAGCAGCTGGAATGAGTGGCATTCGAAGAATCCAATCGAGTCCAGGGTGCCCCTTTTTTTTTTATCTCTCGAGTCCAGGGTACCTTTTTTTTATCTCTCTGTTCTACCGATACATCTCGAGATTTTTTTACGTGATAAGCTTCCACAAGCACTGCTGAGAGTCCCGAAACTCAAAATGTTCAAGAAGCTGACACTTGTTACAGATTTCCCTGACAGCTCGCCAATTCGGCCAACTCAGACCTGCGGATACCACATACGTGTACTTTCTCAGGCAAAAATATTTAAATCCGTCTGCCTCGCTCAACCGGCATCATTCGTACCAAGGACTCTTTTCGCCACGAGGATAAACGGCCCCTCGCAGCCCTGGATTGCCCCTCCACCATCTCGAAGTCAATGGTTCCGGTGGCACAAGCGACGCGTGTGCGCCAAAATAGAAACAAAAAGTTCTTGGCGCGGGCAACTCGTGGTTCTATCCAAGGACTTGCAGAAGACCCTAAGCCGCAGGCATCGGCAAAACCCATCGCGAAGTCCCTGAGGTTGGAGAGCACCAGTCGGCTGACCTTCGTGGTGCTCGCGGGTTTACGCTGGGAGACGCGCGCGCGCAATTCATCCCATGCCGACGTAGTGAGGAAGGGAAATTTCCACCGCAACATGCACCCATGTGTGACCGCAGCGGTTCGTCCAAAATTATGTAGCATGCCTCCGTCTGAAAGACCAGTCAGGCACCATTGGATTTTACCCCTCCCAGGCTATTTTATACCGTCGGGAACTGGAATTTTGGGCTGTTTGATTCGCAGAACCCTTGCTGGGCCGTTTATTTTGCTTTTGTTGGGCCCCATCTGGAATATCGCGGCTCTACAATCCTCTGGTGACCATAGAGTACTGCTTAATGAAATTGTCTAGCACGCGGCTTTGCGTTGATATTTTTCTTTTTTTCTTTTTTCTTTTTTTCTTTTTTTTTTTTTTTTTCCCCGGAATGACAATGGCCGATGCCCGCGCCTGCTCAGTTAATTCGGCATGTGGGAACCAAAGTTACTAACTGCCACGGACGGCTAGCTGAAAGCAAATTATCTGGCCAGAAGCCTAGCTCTGTGGAAGTTGAGAGCAGGGGAGGCGGGGGGTAATTGGAAACAAGCATCCATTTTGTTTTCAAGTGAAACGCAGCATTTTCCCTGCAGGGGAGGGAGGGATTAACCATTGCATGAGCCCAGAACCTTCTTTCAACCACCTCAGATAGAGCAAAAGCTTCAGATAGCCTTGAAATGAGCACAGTTTCGCCGTGGTGGGTATGTAACAGCGGAGCACGGATTGGCAAGACCACAAAGAAAGTTAATAATAGACACACCCTACTGTAGCAGCCTCGCCGCATAACAGAAAAGAACTCCGTACAGGGTACTCCGTAGAAACGACGGAGATATAGCTCCATGGTGGCATCAAGACGGACGTGCGTCCTGGTCGAATCCTTTTAGCTTGGTCGGGCGTTCTAGATGCCGCTATGACCTTCGATAAGCTTCCACGTTTGAGCCTCTTCGTCCATGCCATCATCGAAAAATAATTGACCGCCGCTAAACAAACCTACCACCGTATTTCACTCCTAATTTCCTCTCAGTTCAATCCAGGTTCCGCTGATAAAGCCCGGGAAGATCAAGTGCATCTACGAAGAATCTAAACTGGAAAAAAAAAAAAAAGAAAGAAAGAAAGAAAGAGCAAAAAGGAACAAGACACCATGGACTCTCACATGAACAACCTCCTCAAATGGAGTATCGAAAACTCCGTGCCCGCTCAGCCCGACGATCCAGAGCAAGTCAAACAAGAGCGCTCCCTCGACCGCCTGGACACACAGGCTCTCCAGCGCCTGCTTAGCAATGCCCCCTCCGACGCAGATCTCATGAAAGCCGCCATGGAAGTGGTCAGCGACGACTTCGCCACGCTCGAAAACAAGCTCATCGCATTCGACAACTTTGAGCAATTGATTGAGAACCTTGATAATGCGAATAATATGGGGGTGCTGGGGCTGTGGACGCCGCTGGTAGAGGCGCTCAGCGATGCGGAGCCGCAGATGAGAAAGATGGCGGCGTGGTGTATTGGGACGGCGGTGCAGAACAATGAGATGGCACAAAATAAGGTGGGTTTGCTCGACAACCTTTGATTCGCCCCCCGCCCGCCTTCTTCTCTGTCCTCCGTGTAATCACTAACAAGGGTGGACGTATAGCTTCTCGACTTTAAAGCGGTTCCCAAACTGCTCTCATTGGCAAAAACGGATCCGGATACAACTGTTCGCCGCAAGGCCATTTATGCATTATCATCTGCCGTGCGGAATCACCAACCTTCACTTGATGAGCTGCAAAAACTTTTGCCAGCTGACTATGTCTCCGAGGGTGAAAAGATGAACGCTGCTGACATGGACCGTATAGATGCGATTATGAATAAATTGAAAGAGATTCCTGCATGACAACTTTTTCTTCTCCTATTTACTTTTCACATATATAAAGTTTTGCGTATTTCCTATATTTGCATCATGGGCTTGAGGAGGTTGGGCAAAAGAAATCATTGCATTTTGATTAGATGGGTGAACGGCATTGCTGCTTTGGGCGTTGGGTCATTCCAAGGAGATGGTATTCCGTACTCTGTAAGGAGATGTGATGTGATGTTACCGGCAATAAACCAGCTGGTTTCCGCTAGACACTGATTTTCGAGTTATTGAGGAGCTGCTCGAATAAATGCTGAATGTAAATACCAGGCACAAGTTTATCAGTAATCCATGAGTATATATGTTTTCAATGGTGTTTAAAATCCGAAACTAGAGTATACAAAGCTCTGAACGGAACGCCTGCAAACTCCGAATGCTCCGCAAAAATACACTTAGAGTGACAGCCGGACATAAAAGGTCATCTTTAACGAATGCAAGAGAGAGCGGATGTACACAAAAGGACAAAGCAAAGATAGTGGATATTAGCATGGCGAGGGCGGTAAAGGCATATCAGTCCTAAACTCAGAGCGCAAGACTGTATGTATAGTCATCTTCCATGTTTTGCGAAATCCAGAGGACCGCAGAGCTATGCGACATTAATGTCAGCTGTCCGAAATTCTTCTCAACGACAAAGACTGAAATTAAAAAGTAAAAGGAAAGAGTCCTACCTGACCATAATCAAGCCATTCGCAATCACATTGGCAATTCCAAAGTAAAGCGTCTGCAACGGGTATCCTTTAATGATATACTTAAGAACCATAACAGTCTAGTAACACGGTCAGCATTGACCAGGGTTTCACATAAATATGCTTAAGCAACATTTCAAAAAACATACCACGCTCCCTGCTAGACCACCAGCCAGCAACGCGAATCCTAAAAATAATACAAATCGCACTTTCCAAGCTACCCCACTACCAAAGTAGCTAAGGCTATCTGCGGTTAACCGGGATTTCTCGATCGAGTTGATCACAAGCATCCCGAGCGAAGAACAGATACCGGGGATCCAGTCGACGAATTTGATGTGAACGACAGAGCCGTTTCTGGAGCTATGGGAAAAAGCCGCCGCATCGATGAAGAAGAAAAATCCGAGGGAGAACTATCAAGTTGGAAGAATGAATTAGAGCGCGGTAAACAGCACCAGAATCGAACGGAACGGGCGGACACGGGAAAGGAGGAAGAGGATTGAAGTGCTGTTTAAAGTGGAAAGCCAGATACATACCAGAGCACCGGAGGAATAAACACCTGCAGTGCGAGCGTTGGCGCTATTCAGCCATCCTGGTTTGGAGAAGCGGAAGAGACGGTGCTCCGAGTCGTCCATGTCTGGAATTGGAAACGGACGGTCCTCGCGAAAAGATTCGGCTATGAAAGTAGCAAGAGGAAGATGAGAAGTTATTTGGAGAGTGGAGAGGTCGTAATACGATCTGCCATCCCTTTGAGTATCCCAGAGCTCCGTTGCGGTTCGCAGGCCTCCGCCTGGTCACGGAATCCGCTGATGTCAGGCACTCTAGTAGCGTGATTAGTCATCGCAGCTGTCCAATTCACGTGACCATATCAAGTCGCCATACCGGAAAAATGGGCTTTTCAGGCAACCATCAGAAAATGTTTATCTGATGCAACCTGTTGAACCACAGATTGCAAGCTTGAAACCATAGATCAACCATATATTTACAATGCATGTATAAAGGGTTTAAAATATATAGAATTCAGAATAGGCTGGTATTTGGGACCAGGTCAGGATCCTATTTCGCATTGAAGGTGATCCTGAATTTAGAAACAGCCAGGATTCCAAATATGAAATCTCAGTCCCATGTCCCATCTTACTCAAGAGCTTGAAGTCCCATTTCTATTTTTATTCTATAAATTATTTCCCAGTCCCATTCTTAAATAGAAAATTATATCCTACATTCTATTCTAGCAGAGAAGCTAAACTTCTATTTTCTGTTTCAGCCAGGTCTATAGTGAAACTAGACTTATAGAATCAGAATTCTCAGTCCTATTATATTAAATTTATAAAGAAGAGTCAAACTAATCAAATTTTATATAGACTTGTTAGGAGAACCAGTCATAGATTACATGAGTTTTTCCAGAATAGGGTACAAAAGAGCTAAGTAGGTCCAATGCCCACAACTAATAGGAGAAAGTTATGTGTAAAATGTAAGAGTTTTTTAACTGGAAGACTGCATGCTAAGGTTCTCATGATTCATATAAATTATATAATTCTTATATATTCAGAGTTAGAGTTATATGAGTACTCCTGAATATTTAACATCATCTAATACTTTGTTAGTCTAGATCTATATCTGTAACACTATCTCTCTCTTCAGAGATCTCAGACTTTAAGACATAAAGCTATCAAAGTAATTTTTTATATATTGTTGTTGTAGCTTCTCTATTATTGGTAAAGTATTATAGATTCTTGAATGTATAAGCTTCTGCATTTCTACTGCTTATTTATATAGATATTCTACATGCATATCACTACTAGTTATAGTAGACTTTTTTGTTGTAGAACAGTAATTGTTTTTTTTTATAAAAGTTCAGTGTTTTATTACATACTTATTTTTTTGTTTATTTGCTTGTCTGATTACTATATTATCTGTTGTCTGTTATTATATTGTTTATTAACAAGTTATAGAACTAGTAACTTTAGTATATTATAATACAAATATAAATAAAGATTTTCTCATTCTTATTCTTTTTTTCTTCTTCTTCTACCATATCTTGATAAAAGTATTATTATTTTTTTAAGCTGTTTTTTATTATCATGTCTTCTTTAAAGAATTCTGTCTCTGATGCTGAAGAGAAAATATTTTTCTGCTCAATATATATATATTCAATGTTTACAAATTATTTAGATAAAGCAAAGTCTTATATATAAGACTCTGAAAAAGAATCTTGTGCTTATTATTTAAAGTACTAAATTTATACTTGTTATAATATAAGTGTATTTTTATTTGTTCTTTCTTGTTAATCTAATATAATTGTAGATACTTAAATCTACTTTTAATATTGTCTGTTGGCACTTATATCTTTATAAGAAGTATTAGTTTTTTAATACTGCAGATTCTTACTATCTATATAATATAAAATATATAAGTATCTTGATATAAGAGTTCTGTAATCTTGACTTCAAAGTTGCAAAATATTATTATTATCAAGTCACTTTAGTTTTCAACAGATCTTTGTTAAAATATTATTATTCTAGTTTACTTTAATAAACTAAGACTGTAAATCTTGTGTTTAAAATCAGATCTATTAAGAATAATCTGTCTGAACTTCTTTATTTATTAAGTTCAGGTTATATTATGTTGTCTTAAGTTAAAAATAAGATTAGAAATATTTATATTTTGCTTGATTATTTTATCACTTATTTAATAAGTAAGATTAAAACTTTTTAAAATAGCACAGAAACTAGTCTTGTAGATCTTTTTTATTATCTTTACTTATTCT